GTCGCACTTTGGAGATCTTTAGCGAAAGATGGCTCCATTGCCGTAAGCCTTTTTTATTCTTAAACTAAAGTAGCGCCTTTAACAAAGCTCTCTATTACCCGCGGAACTGGGAACTAGAATAAGACAAACCGTTTTAAGTGAATACAAATATATGACTGAAAAGACAATTTTATGAAGTGTTTCGAAGGCGGCCATAAAGTGAATTTCAAGTAGCCACTGGGCAGTCTGCCTGTCGATCGCCTTGAACCTTGAACACCAGTTTACGAGGGAGTATAAATGGTACTGTAAGGAGATTTGATCGTTCAGTGATTTTATGTGAAGAAAAAGCTTCACATAATCAGCGTATATTACAATTTTGGAAAAATGAAACACGTTTGGAGGATCATTTAGGTGAAAAACAAATAGTAATGGGTCTAAGTGGCTTTCTTGGGGCACACTAAGTGAAACTATAATAAAGAAATAAACAACAAGTTAAAAAGTAGTAAGTTCGGCCGGGCCGAACTTTGAATACCCTCCACCATTTGGAACGAATTTGGAAATTTTTAGAAAATAAAATCATTAAAACATTCTGTTAAAATTTTAAAAATACCAAATATAGCCGTTATATTGAGGTGTATACGATGTGGGCCTACATAGACATTGTTTGTCATATTCAAATTCGAAACTTGAAATAAACGGTGAATAATGTTGCTAAAATCATCAAAATATCGTATATAGGGAGGTACCGTTATATCGGAGCTGTGCGAAGACCTGGACCTGCATAGACAATTTTCCGTCACAGGCTGTAGCATCCATTACGAACTTCAAATACCACACCTCAAACAATTTCGGTGAGTATTGTACCTAAAATCGTCAAAATACCGAATATAGGGATGTATTGATATATGAGGCCTATACGAAGACCTGAACCAGCATAGACAATTTTCTGTCTTAGGGTGTAGTATCCAATTCGAACTTCAAATACCAAATTTGAAACAATTCTGGTGAATAATGTCGCTAAATTCATTAAAATACCGAATATAGGGAGGTACCGTTACATGGAGGCTATATGAAGACGTGAACTTGCACAGACAATTTTACTGTCTTAGGGTGTAGTATCCATTTCGAACTTTAAATACTAAATTTGAAACAATTCCGGTGAATAATGTCGCTAAAATCATTAAAATACCGAATATCGGGAGGTACCGTTATATGGGGGCTATATGAAAACGTGGACCTACATGGCCCATTTACGAACTTAACCTGCATACTGTAAAACTAAACATGTGTGCAAAATTTTAGCTATCTATCTCAATTCATTCGAAAGATAGCGTGATTACAACAGACAGACAGACGGACATGGCTAAATCGTCTTAGAATTTTACGCTGATCAAGAATATATATACTTTGTTGGGTCTGACATGAGTATTTCGAGGAGTTACAAACGGAATGACAAAGTTAATATACCCTCCATAGTATGGTGGAGGGTATTAAAATCATTAAGACATTTTTGAGTACGATTTTCCATGTAGGAGGATATATAGTTTAAAAGTTATGTTGGTAAACCCGTTGAATCTAGTTTATGAAGCAAAAGCTTATGAACTACCGTATCAAAAGCTTTGCTTATGCACAAAACCATTTTGATCTTAACAAATACATTTTACTTGATTGGTAATCGTAGATCCATCTTTCATGAAACAATGTTGGCAAGGTGAAAAGATGTTCTTAAAGTAGTGTGAATAACAAAGCTCGATCGCCAGTATCATGGGAAATATGTTGGCAAGGTGAAAAGATGTTCTTAAAGTAGTGTGAATAACAAAGCTCGATCGCCAGTATCATGGGAAATATCCTTTGTATAGGGAGTAATTAAAATTTTTGGGAATTTTAGAAGGTAAATTAATTTCAAATAATCATATCCATCTCTGCATTTTCTGTAACTTATATTGTCAAATAACACAATAGATTTATAAATAAACATTTTGACAATGAAATTTTGCCAAATTAATTATTTTGAAAAAAATTTGAAACATATGATTGTTTGATTGTACCTCTTAATTCTAACATGGTACAGAGTTAGATTGAGCAGGTAAATCATTTTTGAAGAAATCGAATTATGAACTGTTATTAGAACTCCACCTTTTCTTAATAATCTATTATTTCTGTTAACTTGATAATTATCAGAGAAAATCTCAGTGTCCCGAACATCAGATTTTAACCGCGTTTCGAGGAAAGCACTTATTTTATATTTAGAATAAAAACTTTTAAGGAAACATCTCTTATCTTAGTATTTAATACGCTTACATTTTGATAAATGATCGGACAGACGTCATTTAGCTATTTGGAGCAGTTAAGATGTTTACAGAGTTATCTGCTTTGGAGGGTTCTCTAAAAGATATCATCGGGCCAAAACGAATTACTAACAATAGTGTTAAAAAGCCTGTTAGGAACTGTTATTTTAAAAGACTGAGACTAGTTAAATTTGAAGATGTTTAAATCGTGTTCGCTTACATCGCGTAATTTAGATTTCATACAATTACGGTTTAACAGTAAAAGTTTCAGTGAAGTCTGGATATAAATACTGTTCTGCGACGAGCTACAACAATAAGCCAATTGGAAGTTGATTGATCATCTACTTTTAAAGCGTTTAAAGGAGTTAATATTGGAGCCTGCACCACAATAGCAGGTCGCTCTTTTGGAAGTAGTAATATTTGATGATGAGATTGTAACGTTGGAGTTAACATCCAAGTTGGAGTTAACATTAGTTTATTGCTATTAGGAGGGGGATTTGGGGGATATAAATGAAGGGATAAATAAATAAAACAAAAGGAGGATTAATTTTAATATAATAAAATGACCGTTTATTAAGATGTTATGGAAAGTTGTCAACCCGTGTTGACAGATTACCTTTGTTATGCGGTAGCTCCGAAGTTTAAACAAGAGTGTAAAAGCTAACAAAGTCGCAATGCCCCGAGGTGCTAGAGGAACCGATGCTTCCAGGAAATCAAGAACACATCTCTCTACGGTCCGGGATCCTTTGGCAATATGCAATTCTAACTTAAACAATACTATTACTGACACTTTAAACACGATAAAATTTGTTATTTTATTTTGTTAGGCGACTCGTTTAAAATGTGCACTTTCAAGCGAGCAGAAAACACCAGACTTTTCTCTTCTTATCTTACCAGGATGGTAAAAAATCGCAGCAAATAAAACGCCGAAATATTTGTTAATTGTTTGCGTCATTTTTCCCACAAAATGTTAATATTATCTAGTATTGGTTAATCACAATATAATTCACGTATCCATGTGTATCGAAGCACCAATTTTCCACCTATCGTAAACTGGCTCAAAAATACTATAGGATAAAATGTGGTCATGATGATACTCAATACTTAGTGTATCGTTGGCTTTCTCATTCCGGATGTAACATCTTTATCGACCTGTTTTAAATTTTTATTTAAACATAAAATGATCAGAAACTGAATTCCAGTAAAGACCCGTACAATCACTACTTCCTATTATTTAAGACGAAGATACGCCATCTAGCACCAGGGTGACGTCATTCGAGATGGAAGTAAACCATCTTAATTTAAATCCTCCATGTTTATGTATTTGTCGAACCTCTTTTGAAATGTCAATAGCTGCTTCAATGGAATCAATGCTATTAACAAAGTCGTCCATAGAGTGATTCTCACAAATCGCTGCTATAGCTTCAGGATAATTTTCAACACTCTGTCTGGCATTAGTCTTCATAACGTCTAAGACAGAATACGGTGAGTAGGCGGCTCCAAAGTCGTGACCATAGTTTCAAATTCATCGGGTGGGACATTTCTATTACCATCTGTCCATAAAATTTTTTGAGAAATTCTGTTGCTCGGCTGAATTTTAATTTAAATTTTTCCACTTCAAAAACTGTAAAGCTTCGAAGGCAATAATGAAATGCACTCAGGTCCTTTTAATGTTCAAAGAAATCCCACTAGCTTTGTAGGCAGCATCGACAACAAATCTAAACTTTTTATTTCCTTTATTAGGATTTGATACTGCAAAGTGTGTAAATTACCATTAGACTTTAGGCTTATATCCTCAGAAGTAACTTTCAAAACGTAACTGCTTCTGATGTATCCTTTTATTAATTCCCTCAAGGCTGCTAGATGTCATACAATAACTATATGGCCAGTCTACTCGATATGATTTCCACAATGGGCCTGTTTAAAACCGATTTCCAATTTATTTTGTCATTCATGAAGAATTCGTTTTGCTCTTATATCAGCATCGCATTGTACTGGAGGTGAGACTCGTACGCCTATACTTTCAATATTGAAAAAATCTTGAACCAATTTATGAGCTTGTAGTTCCTCCTAAAATGGGTGAAAAGATGCAATTTCAATGAGGGAGACACTGATTTACATGGTCCAAGTACTAACCAACCAAACGCATGCATATGGTCCAGTCTTTTTTGAAAATTCGAAGTTTGATGGTAACTCTAGATGGACATGGCCCAGCCCATTTAACAACTTCGGCTCTATATTGTACGGTGCGGCTAAGTTCCCAGACTAATACTTATATCCTCTTTACTCAAGCTCTGCGTGAGCAAATTCAAAATAGACACTGCATAATCGGCTCGAAGTGGATGATTTTTTTTCTTTCCGGCTCCGCTTTTATCAGGCTGAAGTTATTGACAGCTCTCTTGTCGAACTTACTCCAAATTATTAAATATGTATCTAATTATTTTTACCTCGTACTCCAATCTTATTTGCAATTTATTTTTCCAGCATTGTTATAGAAGAGCCATCGTATATGAGGAAAAGCGCAGCCTGGTCTTTTTTATGATAAATAAGTTCCCGCTGCAGAACAACCCATATACGCCCCGATTTTAAACTTGCCACATTCTTGTGGTTTTAGCGGCAGGAAGCTACCAGCAGCATTTAGGGGACGAAGCCCTGACTTCAACTGCGAAGTCTACAGTAAGCAGAAACATTGGTGAATGTTCGCAGATTTTTGCGGCCAATAGATTAAAAAAATTGTAAAAATAACATATTTTTTATTAAAATAAAAATATATAATTCAAAAATTTTTTTAAATTATTTTTTGTGATGATGGTTTGATGTTCCATGTGTTGACTTTTGTTGGTTGGTACATTGGCTCATTACGTTGGTGTTATTGTTGTTTGGCAGTTTGTGTGTTGAGACCCCATCTGTACACACAATTTTTTCCAGTGGTCTTCAAGGGATTGCCTGTTGCTTCCAAAAATTGGCACTCCTCTGGTGAACTCAGGATTTTCCTCCATATATTCAACTAGTGCCCGCAGCTATGCAGTTGATGATTTTTTCGTGCTGGAATTGAGGAAATAAAAAAATTATATTTGTTGTTGACATACCATAATTGTATTTATTAAAAGGTAAGTTAATAAAATTTTTGTTTCCATTTTCAATCAATCAATATTTATTTTGAAAAAAAAAAATCCTGAATTGTAGTCATTCGACAGCAAACAAACAAGTGGCTGATTTTGACATTTGTGTTCGCATGCTTGCGAAAGAAAAAAAATAGTGGAACACAAAATTGCACTGAAATGCTTACGTTTTCTTTCGTTTTGGTTTTCGTACAATTTTTCGTTCTGATGGATTTTAGTGGAATGGAAATCACCTGTTTGCGGTGTAAAAGTTGTGCAAACGTGTTCTTTCGAGGTCGTGGAACAGGCTGTAGGTTTTGAATTAAACGTCATGATGAAAGAGATTAAATTAAATGTGCGACATTGGTTTATTAAACCAAGTGGACATTTTAAGAATTTCTGGACACTATTAATGGATGGTTTAATTGATCTGCTGGCAGAATACGAAAATTGAAAAGGATGTTACTATGCTGAACTTTATGTCGAGGGCATTCCTCATTGAAGAATATACGCTGGAAGTGCCAACAGGCATAAAAGTATTAAATTACTTCTTATTTGAATGCTAAGTTTAAATATTTGAAGGCGTGTTGAAACGGTCTCTTGACAAAATAGAAAGATCCAAACTGTTGAAATGGTACAAAGTCATAAAGATGCCGAGGATCTGAGTCGAATGGTTTTGAGAAAAGAATGATGAAAAACAAATGCAAAATGAAAAACACCAAAATAAAACCATTTGTAAAACAATGAAGATGTCTTGTCCACATCATGTTAATTTTAACTCATATGGAAATTCAAAGAACAATTAAAAAAGTATATTAAAAAAAAATAAAATTTTATTTCATTAAAATTCAAAGTGCAACCGGTATTAACATTTTTATCTGTGGCATATATATGCTGTTAAAATTAGACACATTTAGCGCCTTTTGTGTCTTTAAGAAGGGTCAGGATTCAAAATGGGGCAAATTCCAGCTTCGTTCATACCTTGTATTTTTACAGGGCCGATATATTTCAGGTTTTATCCTTGAACATCATATTATGGCGTAATATATGGAATTTAAAAGTCAATTCTCCTATTCATTCCTTTTTAGATTTAGATTTATTTCATTTAGACTTCTGTGTTTCATCAAATCATCAAACAATCGAAATAAATACCAACGCTGATGTTGTAAACACAGAAAATTGATCATATTTTAGTTCCATGACAACTAAAATACGTTTTTGAAAAGAAAGATTACCATGTTTTTTTTTTAATTTTAAAAGTTTCTAAAAACACAAAAAATTAAAATGTAAATGAACAAGAGTAGAAGTTATATTGTTAACATGATGAAGTGACTAGCATGATTTTGGCACAAAGCGTGCACAGCAGTGGAGTTCTATTTTGGTAGTTGTAACAAAGCTGTTTTACATCCTTATTGTACCGTGGTAAAAACTTCATATGCATGATACAAGATCCGTATATAACTGAAAATAAGCGTGAATGTATCACTATTCAACAGAGAAAATTGTGCGGTGCACAGTACGTAAAGAAAAAATTAAATGTATGACTGTCATAAATTTTTAAAATTTAAAGTGAGAGATCGTTGGGCTACCGTGAAAAACATTCGTGCATGCTTTTTATGTTTAAAGATTGGACATACAACTCGTGAGTGTCATAAAAAAGAAAGTATGACAACGAAAACACAATAAGCTACTTCATGAAGACACCAGTAGTGCTTCATCTCCATTCTTGTCTAGTCGTATGAATGAATCTTTTCTGAGCTGCGTCAATTGTAAAAACAAATTATTGTTTAAAGTTTTGCAGTTGCTTTATTATTATTATTTTATTATTATTTTTACTCACAATTTTGTTTCCATATTCAACCATGTAATGAAAGGCTTGTGTATCTAAAAATTGATAGCGCATCAAGATTGTCTCCAAATATTTGTGAAGTCAGTGCACAATTCATTATATTGGGTGTGGCGGAATTAAAAGGCGATGGGTTACTCCGTACCCGTTCGACGTTTTTCACTACACAAGATTTAAAGCTCATTTAGGCAATGCTCTTATATAATTTTTGAGGGTATTTTCTTGATTCATGTGCTTAATACATCCTAATTCACGATGATTTACCACACAAAATTAAATGAAGTCAAAACTTGGATTTGTTTTAAATCTAGTGTTAAATCGAAATATCTTGACATGAAACACTGCTTTTTGGTCCTAAAAATGCAACTATTGTGGTTTGTGCGATAATTGACTGTGAACAGTCACATGGAACGCAGACTCTCAATCGGGAAAATAATTAAAAAGAATTTAAAAAACTAAATGGCGGTCATTAAAAGCTCAAGTCGAAAAAGAAAATTACCAAAAATTATATTTAATTGCCACAGTACAAAAGTTGTGCGCGCATTTTAAAGTTTCCCCCTTTATTCATTCATTTCTCTATAAATACAAATTATGACAGTGAGATGTTGTCCAGTGAATAATTCTTGAAAAAATTTTAAAGATATGATTGTATGACTTTACCTCCTTCATTCTAACCATGGTAAAATTAAGAAGGTAAGGACATTTCAAATGAGCATTCCCTTCTTTGCTTTTTCTTTAATTTAGTTTGTCAAATTCCTCTGCATGGAAAACGGGTTCCCATCTCTGATTTGTGGATGGATTTAGAAAAATACATTTTGACAATGAGATGTTGTCCAAAGAATAATTTTGAAAAAAATTAAACATATGATTGCATTACTTTGACTTTTAATTCTACCATGAACCCCTGCTGAGTTGTTTCTTAATCGCAAAATCAAAACAACACCCAATTTATTGAAGTCACATGATGATACGAATAGCAAACAACGTAATTTCAAGCAAAGCGGAAAATCTTAAAATTCCAACACAAAACATCGTGGTTTGTCTAACAGTGGCTACGCAGATAAAAGTTAGCTTATGTTAAATTCAGGAGCTATGTTTGGATTTATTTGAAATTTTAACCACAAAGTAAGGTATTTGGCTATTTTGAAAATAAAAAGTGCAGTCTATAATGTAGTATATAGATCTTAATACACCATAATATGTCCATTTTCGGGGTTTTTCAAAAATTTCCAGTACAAAAATATTCATTTTCTTGCATTACTCCGTAACCTGTTCTTCCAACAAACATTGAGTAGGTATTTCCATATGCTTTCAAATGATACTAAATTTGTGGAACAGGATACTTCCGGGTCGAATAACAGGGTACCTGTATTTCAAGTTCCGTAATAAAGTTAAAAATACCTGGATGTGATAAAAATTTTCAGGTCAATTCTAGCAATGCCCCTAAACTCAATTTAAGCCATTTGGCTGTTTTAAATAAATTCAAGACTTTCACCTATATAAGGAAGGATTCCAACACAAGCTGCATTCTAAAAGTAAAGTTTTATTAGTTAGCTGGCCTTTGCAATCATTTCATTTATTTTCATACAATTCAATATAAATAAGCAAACATGGCCAAAATCTTATATTAAAATACAACAGTATAAAACAGCCTATGAATATACTAATTTAAAAAAAAAAAAACTAAATAAATAACTAAAGTTATCAACAAAAAAAATAATAATGATTTAAATTTAGTAGTAATTTAGTAATTAGACCCCAGACACAACTCCTCTACCAAGCTGAACAACAGTTAAGCAAGGCAGAGAGGAAAAAGGCAAGAGGAATCAATACACTCAGGCGCTAATCATCACTCGTTTCCAACCGAGCGAATGTAGCTACTACAAGTATAGCAAAAAATCCTAAAAAAGAGAAAGAATGATAAAATTATGTACTCTATGGAAAATAAAAACATAAAAATGGCCCCAGCCAATAACTAAAAAGAAATAAAAAAATATCCCGCAACCAGAAACTCAATGAATAGACAAATATTCAAAATACCTCTTCCTGTACACATCAAAAGAACAGGTTAAAATTACGCAGGTCAGAGGGAGCTGATTCCACAATCTCGCAACTCTCACAACAAACTACAGACGAAAATCATGGAAACAGCAATTGCGGATTTCGAGATGATCTACAAAATTGTTATATAAAGGAGAATTAACATTCCTCATAATTATGTAATGACACAAAAGCAGGCGATATTCAACATATCTTTCAAAGGACAGACCAAGAAACTTAATAACATACTGCGTTACACGATCACTACGGCAAAACCCAAACACATACCTAACAATAGAGTTAACAAGTTTGTGTACACGCAGAATTTGCAAGCATTTGCCCCAGAGATAACTTTCAAACAATAGTTTACATGCGACATCAATAAAGATCTGGCTACCATCATCCTAACACCAAGAGGCAAATGAGTTTGAAGACTATAATACCTCCTAAGCTGAAAACGCACACGAGGCAGCAAAGAATCAACATGCTGAAAAATTAAGCTTGGCGTCAATGACTACACCTAAACATCTCATCTCATCCACCACATTAACCACAAAGGAGCCAACACAGAAGAACGGCATAGGAACATAACGAAGACTATTAAACAGAACAGCTTCAGTTTTATTCAAATTGACAGACAAACCATTAGAGGAGATCCACATAGAAAGCAATCCTAACGTAGTGTTTGTCACATTTCCCAACTCAAAGAGATCTGCACTTCTAAAGAAGACATGAATGTCATCCGCATACATGAAGACTTCACCCCTGGAATTAGACACAGACCCCACTATGTCATTAATGAACATAATAAAAAGCAGAGGGCCAACCACAGACCCTTGTGGGACACCACACCGAACAGCATAAACATCAGACTGAACACCCCAGTGCACAACAAACTGATGTCTTCCACTCAAATACGACGATATCAATCTACATGAAGAAAGAGAGAAACAAAATTTGTCTCTCAGCTTACAGAGCAGAAGCGTATGATCCGCAGAATCAAAGCCTTAGACAAGTCAAAGCCAACAAGCAAACCAACATCAGAACTATTGAACACATCACGAATGAGATCAGTGAGGGCTTAAAGATGAACCGTGGTGCTAGAACCACGGCGATACCCGAACTGAGAACTACTCAAATACAACAATAGCATCCTTAATAACATGTTCAATTGTCTTCGACATAGCCGGCAGAATGCTTATTGGTCGAAGATTCGTCTGATGATAAGCACTCCCCTTCTTCGGCACAGGCACTACACGAGCAACCTGCCACGCAATCGGAAAGGCTGACGTCATAAAAATACAATTTACAAAATGCAGAAAGTGAGTACAAATGTAAGGGAATACGCATTTCAAAAAACTTAATAGGTATGCCATCAACACCTACAGCATTTGACTTAAAATTCCGCAAAGCACGAAACAAATCTTCCATGTACACACAGTAAAATCTAAAAGAATCAAAACCATTGGTCTCTCTAACCACAAAATCCAGAGACGAACTTAATTACCAACACTACAAAAGTAATTGTTAATATCATTGACATCAATAAATGTGACATCACAACCATTATCAAGACAACCAAACGACTTTAACGACTTCCATATCTGCACACTACTCATACGGCCAAACGTTTCCTCATAAAATTTTCTTCTTTCATTACGCATGACAGCCTTACAACGGTTTCTGTACATACAAGATATCTGCCTGTTGCGAACCGTAGGATGTCTACGCCACTCTAGATAAGCCTGAACCCTAACGTAACAGGCCGACTTTACCACATCCAACCCCAACCAAGCATCAGCTGGTAGCAGTAGGTACAAAAGACAACAAATCTTGAAACAATAAATCAAACAACGCCAATCAAAGTTGCAAACATAGTCTTCCACACCACGCCAGTCAGTCCTACGAAAATCCAGAAACTCAATAACCTTCTCTTCATCATGAACCGGGAGTTCAACCCCTCCAAAAATTAAGGCATGGTGAGAAATAACAGGGCACTACCCCTGTAAGGAAAAATTCATAGTCAAGTCTTCAGAGACCAGACAAAAGTCAATCAAAGATGTAGTACAACGAGCAACATCAAAGTGCGTGGGGCTGGAATTGTGCACAACAGAAAACCCAAGAGACCGACACAGTCTTCGCATTGACAAAGAATTTAATGGTTTAAACAAATTATAGTTAAAATCACCACAGACAACAATGTTCGCATATGAGTCAACATCCCCACGAGGTAAGTAGACGACAGTAAAGAGCAACGTAGTGCTGCCCGGTCATTACGCAGAACCTTGTACCCCTGAAACCTCAACGACCTCGAAGACACCGCAGGGTTAAGCCAAGATTCAGTCACTGCAAAAACATCAATACCACTACCAACAAGCAGACATTTCAACTCATCAACCTTATGATTATATCTCGACGGTCGCAAACTTTGACAATTCAAGTGACCATACGTAAGTATACCATGGAAGCAAGAAGAGACATGCCTGAAAAATTGAGCATCCCTGTTCACAGGTCCGATATTCCCATCAAGGGACATAGAAATCAAAAAAAAAAAAAAAGGCTGGGGAGCAAAATTATAGATGTTATAAAAATCATGGGAAAAATAAAATAAGAATAAATACTATACAATAAAAATATAATAAAATAAAAATATAATAAAGGGAAAACAGAAGCAAAACTTTTTATATCAATAAGTCACTTGCCCCAAGAAAAATAAAAAAATAAAAATAGTGAGAACAGCAAAAACTAGCATACCTTTAATGTCTAAAGAAACAACTACTGTAAAGCTTTACCGTCACCAACCTGCAAACCAGGAGCAGAATTCAACTGGAAGTCACTTACTGCACACCGAGATCGATTAGCCAATTCAAACAGCTCACACTGCTCAAACATAGCTTTAATCCCATCATGGAGAACCACTTCAACTAAAGGCTGATCACCATTGACCAACCTAAAACTCCTAATGTGCTTCTTTTTCAGCAAACCACGACAAGCAAACACCAGCTTCGAAGTTGACTTAATCAGGTGATCATTTATGTACACCCGGGATTCAAGAAGACAAACCTCCATTACTGCCTTCAAAAGTATACGCCCCTTTTTAGCAAAATTCCGCATCAAAGCATCTCTGTCCAGAATGGAGTTAAACTTTGCAAGAACCGCTCTACGATCAGAGATGTAACAGCAATGATGCAAGTCATGAGGCCACAAACCTTAGCAATATTGACAACTTTCGCTCTAAGGTCCTTAACATTATTAAGCAGGCCTCTGATAATTACATCTGTAGGGTTCAGTCTGCACTGGAGCATAGCATCAAACAATTCCAACTCACGAATTCTACCCGACAATCTCTCCTCCTTACTTGCAGCAGTGCTCTTCGAATCATTAACAGCTGACTTCAATTCATCCACTGATCTGCTAACGGCATTCAAATTGCTTTTCACCTCAGAAATTTGAGCACTATACAACTCAAAAAGCGCATCAGCTTTGGCTTTATATTCACGCACACTCTGGTCCATGTATATATCCATCTGTTTCTTCATAGTCAGAAGCAAGTCATCTTGCCAACGTCACACAGTATCAGAACTGCCAACAACAACATCATCAACCACAGACACACATGCAGCAGGGGACAAATTCGACACCGAATTAATAAGATTGCCACGATCAACAATCCCAGACACAACACCACCACCAGCAGAACGCACACAGGCACTACATGTGTATTTAAGAGCCTTATTAACTCTAGCCTCAGCTTCAGACCCACCCACACAATCCAAATGAACAAAATTCACACAACCAGGGGCTGGATTTTTGCTCTATGAAAATATGAAATGATAAATATTTCCTTCATAAAATTTTTCATTTGACATTTCTTTCCTTTATAAAAGATTTTATTTCACATTTTCATAGAACAAGAATTGAGGCCCAGTGCTTTTTGCAATATGCTCATTGCAAGCATTGCAAATTAATTGAGACGGCATTTTTAATGTTGGTAACTATGCGCATTAACAGGCCAAATAAAGCAGAAAAAAAATTTCGTTGTGGCACTCCAGAAAAACAGCAATTAATACGTGACTCCAACAACAGTGAATGGCAAGGAACTTCAAAAATAGTTTCCAAAATACTAATAGCCAATTACTACTGCACAAACTTCAATTTTGAATTTTAATTATTTTTCTTGGCACATCAAATAAATTATAGACTGTCCATGTAGGGATCACTCGATCATGGCGTTAGAACTACAAACATCGAAAACACATCAGATACAAAAAAAACTATAGAGGCCATTAAAAAGGAAAGTATGGGCTTTCCCAATAAAAAAATCAAACAAAATTTATTCATTTTGTGGAAATAATTATTCATAACTTACTTTTTAAATAATTTTTTTTTCTGCCGCAGAGTTGAAAATGCATCTGAGTCATTCTGTAGTTTGGATATCTATAGTTACAACGTTGATAATTTCCTTCAGGTTTTTTTAGAAAAGGCGATTTTTTGGAGACATGGTCGGCAGTGGCACGTCACTGTTTTACAAGCCACCATGGTATAATTATTACTGGTAGCAAACACCAGCTGATTTGACTCTATAGTAGTACTTGTGTCAAATTCGATATAAAGTTTTTTATTTATTTCCATTTCTTGATATACAATAGGTATACACATTTTGAAATAAAATATCACTGCAGGGTAATGTGAACATATTTCTGCCTAATAATATCTAACAAAACATCAATGGTGCGGAAACTTTTTCCGCAGCCACATTACGTGATATAGTCATATATTTCATGTTTCCTAAAATTGCAAAATATAGAATACTTTATGTATATATTCAGTTTGGCTTCAATTTTAAAGGGATGTTGCCTTTTCCACGATTTTCTAACAATTGCTTAAAGTGTTGAGATATTTAGACCTACAGCTAACAACTACACATTCAGGGGAATGATGTGGTAGCGTTTAAAATTAAATATCTTAAGAACTAATCTTCTGCATTTTACATTTTATAATCCAAATTCCGAAAAATAAGATTTTTGAAATATTTTTTTTTTTTGAAATTAATGGTTTATCTGAATTTTTGGTATTATTGCATTACGTATAAAAACAATTTTGTATGTGGTTGCTGTAACGTTTGTTGTATAACAACACTTCTTGTTACTTGAATTATTCTAAAATGGCTCAACTCGCTTTTACCCCTGCATGGTAGAAGAATATAGGTAGATGCATCAACGCTTGGGAACATTGATATGTCAAAATTTTTTAAGTCCTTTGTCACAAGTAAGTCGATTTTTTATATGTTTTCTTATACGAAGCAAATCGGAGGTTGTAATGATATGTATTTTTCAACAATTTTTACAAATTTCAATAATTTTTCATTCACGATGTTCAATATCAAAATCGGTTTGACAGTTCATTGTCCCAGCAGCTGTGTCGATGCGACTACCTGTATTCCTCTACCATGTACCCAATAAAATTTAAGCAAATTGTTTTAAACCAATCGAAATATTGAGTTTTTGTACTTTTACATCGTTACCTAAATTTCGATGTACTGGGTTGACGTATTTCACTAGATAAGTAAAACACGTGTATTTATTTGAATGTTAGCCAAATACGTCTGACGTACAAAATTTCAAAGCTAAAAATGTAATTATGACTATTGAACACTTTCATTTTGTGTATTTCAAAATAGAAATGAATGATACAGATACATACAGATTGTAATATTATTATATTCTAGACCGGAGATCTAGTGAATGGCAATATCATGTTTATGTTAGAACTAGAGGGCTAACCGGCATTAAAATTATTTATAAAGTATATGTAATGGATATGACAATTTTAAACCAAATCCAGTGGGTTAACCCCTTCATGTGTAAACGTAATGTCGTCAAATAAGTTTTTTTAGTTGTAAACAAATGACTACGTGATTTATTAATCATTTAATTTTACTCTTGGTAGAATTAAGAAGGCAACGTCATACAATCATATGTATATAATTTTTCTTAAATTATTCATTTGACAACATCTCTGTTTCTCTCCGTTTGAGACGTAGGGTTCTCCCAGGTATACAAACCGTGTAAAAAGAGATAAAAAATAAAACCAAGGGGGATTAGTATTAAATATAATATTAGTTATACGTTTATTGAGGAGTTTGGAAATTGGTCAACCCGAGTTGACAGATTACCTTTGTTATGCGGTGAGCTCCGAAGTTCAAACAAGAGTATCTGTATGAGAACAAAATCGCAATGCCCCGAGGTGGCTGGAAGCACCGATGCTTCCAGGAAATCTCTCACAGTACACGGGCTGAGAGAGAGTACCCAGAGAGAGTTGTAGAGAAATGGCTTGGAAAAGCTGCCTACGGTCCGAGCTGTGCGAACGTAGGCCCCAGGGAGAGTTGTAGGTAAAATCTTCAGACGAGGAAGGCTTTCTCCCTACGGTCCGTACCAAGCGAACGTAGGCTCCAAGGGGAGTTGCAGGCAACATTTTAGCCCAAGAACTCATCTCTCTACGGTCCGTACTAAGCGAACGTAGGCTCTCTGGATCCTTTGGCAATATGCAATTCTAGCTTAAACATTGCCGCCCACCTTGAAACATTGGACAATGTTACAATCAATAATATATCAATCAGTAATAGAGTTCATTAAGTGCAATGGAGCGTAATAAAATCAATAATATAAGTATGAATGAATGATAATGAGTATCTTAAGGCTAAATGACGTGAAATCAAATTCTAGTGAGCGTAATTCAGTGTGTTTATTTATTCAATTTAATTCAAAACAAAAATAACAGAAAATGTTCTTTAGCGGGATGTGGTGCCCGAAATGATCCAACCAAACACGGTGTATTGTGCCGTAGGCAAACCTGGTTGCGACAAAACACGAGACGACACGATCTGTGCGTAAACTTCGGTTGGGTCCGCCAATTCAAGGCCCGCGAAGGATTCTCTAATTGCGGAAGAGACGGAAACAGTGGGAGTTTTTCCTCGTTCTAATTTGGCAACTCGAGGAGTGATGTACTTTATAACATTTTCGTCGAATCGCGAACCAATTGCCAAATCACAATAAACTTCTTCATTTAGGAAGGTAATAGGCAAGCGAAAGCTGCGTACTAAGCTCTCACAAACGTGGCTTATCCGCCAGCATGGGTCCAATAACGCTCGGCCAGGTATAGTCGCCTATGGCAGTATTACCCGAACTACCAAAGTAGGGGAAAGAGCGACTACGCGACTAATTGGCAGTGCTGCCGCCGAAGCTACGACCGGTGAAATAGATGGGTGACGTGGTGTAGCAACCGGTACCAAGTTTCGACTAGCGACGGTTGTTTGCGCTACATTCCGACGGGATTGGTGTTGGCGGTGGTTACGTCGAACCCGCGAATGCAGAGTGGAATGGTGCTTCTGCTGGCACTGTGCGCATCGTGAAGCGCTCTGGCAGGTTCTCGCATGATGCCCCATCATCAGGCAATTGACGCAATGCCCTAGAGATACCACGGTTCTCATCCGTCTTTCAAAACTCATTGCCCTAAACGTCGGGCAGCGATACAAGGCGTGGTGACTTGGGCATAATGGGCATCTTCGGGGTATCGAACCAGGAACAGGTCGCACCAATCCTGCTAGATTACTTGATGTGTGGGACGGGGCCGAACTTGCGACAACATTCGTGGTGGCATTAGCCGCAGTTGGGGAGTTGGTAACGACCGGTACTGCTGGGTAAATTGTCACCGAGGGAGGTCACTCCGAGCATACGCTGACTGTATCCATCCGCTCCTCGTCCGTCATTGGGGTGTCAGTGTAGTCGAAGTCTGACAAGATTACTTCCGGAAAAAGGGGGCTTGCAGGTTCCATAGCTAAGCAAAACAACATGTATGACGAAAAGGAGGAGTAAGTTAGTTTTGGAGCACTACTAATTTTGTTACTGGCCGCCGCACCACCCCTTGTGCTGTCTTGACGTCAACTACGCGAACCATTCCATCATCGCCGGGATGAACCTGTACTATTCGCCCTAACCTCCAAGCCGTTGGGGGGAGTTGCTCCTGGCGAATAACAACCAAATCATTGACTTCGATATTACGTTGCGGAAACATCCATTTATAACGCTTGTGCAGACTATGCAAATATTCGTTCCGCCACCTAATACAAAACTGTTGAGTTAAAGCCTTAATTCGACGAAAGCGATTAACGAGACTAAGAGGCGCTTCATTTATGGCCGGTTCGGGGGGAGAAAGAAGAGGAGCGCCTATAAGAAAATGACCGGGTGTTAGAGCAACAATGTCTTCAGGGTTTTCCGATATTGAACACAGCGGACGAGAATTAAGACACGCCTCAATGCGAGCTAGTACAGTACTCAGCTCTTCAAAAGTAAACCGCAATTGTTTCGCATACCGGCGAAAATGCAATTTGAAACTTTTCACAGCCGACTCCCAAAGGCCTCCCATATGTGGAGCGCCAGCTGGTATAAACTGCCAGGAGATTTCTTGATATTCACTTGAAGTACTTAATAGTTCCCGATTTTCTTTAATAAAGGTCTTAAAATCCTTTTCTAACGCTCGGGAAGCACCAACAAAGTTCGTACCATTGTCTGAGTATAGGGTATTAGGGCAACCACGACGAGAGACAAACCTATGAAATGCGGCTAAGAAAGATTCCGTCGACAAATCTGATACCGCTTCCAGGTGGACAGCTTTAGTGGAGAAACACACAAACACACAAGCGTAACCCTTGGTGATTCTACAGGCCCGACCCGTAAATGACTTTATTTCAAAGGGACCGGCAAAGTCGAGGCCGGTTGTCGTAAAAGGTCTAGAAATCATGGTCCGTTCAGGGGGCAACGCAGCCATGATCTGTTGACCGCAGCGTTTCTTTTCTAAAATACACGTATTGCATTTTCGAATAACCGTACGAATCAAGGTTTTTATCCGAGGAACCCAATATTCAATGCGAACGATGCGTAACATTAACTGATTTCCCCCATGAATGGAAAGCAAATGTATATAATCAACAAGAAGGTGAGTAAAGCGACTGGCATAAGGCAAAATTATCGGGAACCTCTCACTGTAAGACAAACTAGGTGATTTCACTAAGCGTCCGTTAAGTCGCATTGCACCCTCAGAATCGAGAATAGAGTTCAGGGAAAGAAGGGAGCTAGAGCTTGGTAGCGCTCGTTTAAGCAATAAACAATTATACTCGTCGCCGTAGTGAACCTTTTGGGCTATAATTGCAAGACGGGTCTTGACAGATTTAATTTCTTGTGGACTAAGAACAGTAGTCGAGTAGTGATGTAATAACTTACGTCTCGGATGTGAATTGTTAACGAAACGGAACACATATGATAAAACACGCAGGGCTTTATCGAGAGAACTATACATTTCCAGAGGCTTCTCATATTCTGAGAAAAACGAAAAATGGGCCCGCATGCTTCGAATTTCTATTTCGGTATCAAAGGCATTACAATCGGGTATATTCCAACGAGATGAATCAAAAGATAACCAATGTGGCCCATGCCACCACAATGAGGACGTCGACATTTCTTGGGGGGAAATACCGCGGCTGCCTAAATCCGCGGGATTGTCCTCCGATCTGACATGATGCCACTGAGAAATGTGCATATTTTCTTGAATTCGAGAAACTCTATTAGCAACGAAGGTAGTCCATGTCGAAGGAGGTTTTCGTAACCACGAAAGGACAATTGTAAAATCACACCAACAATATACCGCATCAATCGAGATGCCAATTTTTTCAACCATAGTCGTGAGCAGATCTGAAGCGAGGACCGCACCACATAACTCTAATCGTGGTAGAGAAGTCGATTTTAGCGGGGCTACTTTGGTCTTTGAAGATAGAAGATTCACGTGAATAATGCCAGACGAGGATATAGTTCGCATATAAACGACGCTTGCGTAGGCCTTTTCTGACTCATCAGAGAAAACATGAAGTTCAACACGATCGCCGACACAATAATAAACCCAACGGGGAATACTAATAAGGTTCACACCGGTGTAATTCTCCACAAATTTTTCCCATGCTATTTTTGTTGGTTCTAATAGCGATTCGTCCCAACCTATACGATCTATCCAAACCTTTTGCATGATCATTTTTCCGACTACTATTACGGGAGACAACCAACCAACTGGGTCAAAAAGTTTAGCAATAGTCGATAAAACTTCCCGCTTAGAATATTTCTCCTTTTGTACAATAGGGTTTACACAGAAGTAAAACGAATCTAAGCGCGCATTCCATCGTATTCCTAATGGTTTAGAAGTACTAGACTCCACAAATGATAATACTTCAGCATCAACTAGTTCCTCTATAGAAAATCTATCTAGCAATAACTTATGATTGGAGGTCCATTTACGCAATTCAAATTTGGCTGTGGAAAGAGCATTGATAAGCTGATCGCGCGATTGACGAGCTAAATTAATATCGTGAGCACCGGCGAGAACATCATCGACATACATGCATTTTCTCAAAATATGTGAAGCCAAGGGAAACTCTTTTTCGGTGTCTTCTGCCAATTGATGCAAAGTGCGCACAATTAAACCCAAATGTTACCGTTTGCAATTCATAATCTTGGATTTGGTGGGAAGGGGACTCTCTAAACAGAATACGTTGAAAGGGAGTATGCTTTGGGTCTACAAGAATTTGTCTGTACATCTGCGTAATATCACAATTAAATACGAATTGAAATATTCCCCACCTTAAAATCAAGAGAACTAAATCTTCTTGCAATGTGAGCCCAACGTGAAGAATATCATTAAGACTTACTCCATTGGAAGTCTTATTCGAAGCATTAAAAACGACTCTTAATTTGGAAGTTTGTTTCTCAAAATTAATAACAGGATGGTGAGGCAAGTAACAAACGGAACTGGATTCCAAAGCTGGACGGACTAGGCGCATATGCTTTAAGGCAAGGTACTCCCGAACTACGCTTTCATAGAGACCTTTGAGGCAGGGTTTGCGAAGAAGTGAACTCTCGTTCCGACAAAATTGTTATAAAGCGTTTTGTCGAGAAGTGCCGAGTTGCACTGTATGAGGGAAATCAGCTTTAAAAGGGAGCGAAACAACATACCGACCTTCTGAATTTCGTACCGTAGTGGCACGGTAATTTTCTTCACAAAATCTATCAGAGGGAGAGATAAATTTTTGTTTGGGTGTTTCTTCTAATTCCCAAAAACGAAGCAATAATTGGTTAAGGTTTTCCTCTTCCGGGTAATGCAGCCTAGTATTGAAAACTTGCATCGAGGAGGTGAACAGTGGACCCGTCAAAATCCAACCAAATACAGTATTTTGGGCTAATAGTGAACCTAGCACCTTTTGATGGGCACCCTGTAGCACGATTTGGGGATATAAATCCGCACCGATTAACAAATCTACGGATCGACTTTCAAACAGGTGAGAGTCTGCTAGGGGTAAATGGAGCAACTTATCAAAGAAATCGGACCGAATAAAAAATGATGGCAAGTTTTCGGAAATCTGAGGAAGAACGAAAGCGATCTGAACCGAAGAATGGTGGCGAGATCCAAGACAAAGTGAACAACTTTTCCTAGATGTGGCGGAGACAGAACCGTTGACACCCGAAACCGTAGCAACTACCGATCGTACTGGTAGTTTTAGTTGTTGTTTTAATCGATTAGTAATAAAAGAAACCTCAGATCCGGGATCAATTAAAGCACGAGCTGGAAACGAAGACCCCTGATGAAGGATGTTAACCATAGCGATGCCCAGTAAAACATTTCTACTCTGCGAAGTGTGAAAAACTTGCGCATTTGCTACAGTAGGGTGAGCACCAGTCGAGGTGGATGCGACATTTGAATCTGAGGCAACAACAACGGAGGATAAGACGATGTGGATAAGCCAGTTGATACCCAAGTATCACTGCTTGGTCGATGAATTAAAGAATGATGAGTGCCTTTGCAAATACTACACCGATTAGAACTTTGGCACTCTTTGACGGAATGTCCTCGAGACAGACAATTCCAACAACATCCCTGTGTTTTGACAACAGACAATTTCTTACCTATAGACAATTTCCTGAATTTAGGGCATGACCGAAGTGAATGATTTTGTCTAGGGCAGAGGGAACAAAAGAATTCCGAAGTGGATTTTGAATTTAGGTTAAACGAAGCATTGGTAAAGTGTGATTGAACCTTTTTTTGATTGGATTCAGCTCCCTTAATATCACGTAAACAATCTAGAGTCTGAATTCTCTCAGTCAGAAATAAATCTAAATCTATCCACGAAGATAATGCCGATTTATCGCGTATACTTTGCTCCCACAATGTGACCGTTAACCTAGACAAACGTTGAATACACAAAAAGACTAAAATAGGATCCCATTGATCCGTTGGAATGTCGTAAACGGCCATAGCCGACAGACAAGCGTTTAGGCCCCGTTGAAGAATTTTCAGATTGGCGCTAGTTTCTCCATCCAATACTGGAAGGTCAAACAATTTCTTAAGATGAGTATTCACAATGATTCTTTTATTGTCATAAGTATTCTTTAAAGCGGTCCAAGCTAAAATGAAACTGCGGTGGGTGAGTGGAAATTTGTTTACTATTTCCCTAGCTTTCCCGGACGTTTTCTGCACTAAATGGCACAGTTTTTCAATATCACTTAATCGGCCATTGTTTATATAAACCGTATTAAACAAGTCCCTGAAAGTAGGCCACGAAAGAAAATCTCCTTTAAAAACTTCAATATCACAAGGAGGAAGTACCAGATTGTGAACATTATCGGAAGGAACCCAACCGGAGAGGTTATTTATAGCGCTGTGAACTGAGCGGACTTCCGAAACAATTGTCTCAACCTGTGTCCCGATATCCCTAGAAGCCTGAGTCGTCGAGCTTAGATTTGGAGCAGGGGGTGTTTCAACTAACGAAACTATAGAACCATTCACGGTAGAATTAGAAGGCGATTTTTGAAGTTTCCGATATTTAGAAAGTCTCCGATTAATAGCTGACAGACATTTTATATAGGTTTGATGCGAAACCTCATATTTACTATCAACGGAGTCTATATCCTCTTTTTTTGAGTCTACCGATGACATCAAAAAATCCAAACATTTGTCAAACATCTCCTGAACTTTGATCCACAATTTTTCTATTTCAGAGCAACGAACTTCTAGCTCAAACTCATCTGTTTCCTCCTCGCGCACCAAGCTGAAATGAGCATCAAATTTAATAAGAGCATCCGAAGCTCGTATAAACATGTCCAAAGGTGTGAATGACATCGTAAGTACCAATTATATACTCAAAAGAGCAGAAAAGCAAATCACTCAAATGCAAAAAAAAAAAAACACTTAATAGTGGAGAAATATCAGAATATGAGTATTGAAGTCAAAATGGCGATTAACTCTTGCGTAAATAAATATCCAAATTATATTACCTGAATTTCAATGAAACGTTTCTAAACTAATTTCGAGAAATATTAACTCGCTGATATGCCAATGCAATTAAATACAAAAACGACCGCCAAATGTAGACAATTTTCAAAGAAAAGTAAATTTTATTACTAATATTTAGATTTCACCGAATGTAGGGTACGTACCGTTCGAGGAGAATGCAACAAATTTAAATGACATAAATAAATAATAATATTTGCAAAAAAGAACAAATGTATATATAAATATAAATAAATAGTTAAATAAAATTAACTTTTTTTCAATCATGAATTTATTTCGATATGATTGGTTATAGAGTGCACAATGTCCAACAATCTCGTTTGTATCCACAAATTAGTTAAATTTTGAAAAAACGCCAAATTGTAATTTTCATAAATTAATTACAAATTAATTATGAATTTTTTTTACCTGCGACCCACTGTGCGGCGAAATGAAGAAAGGCCAACAAAACAAAATAAAACACAAGCGACGTCAGCAGCGTAGTCGACGTGCTTGTAGTAGTAAGTGCGTGAGCGGCAACTGACTGCGTTGCTATTAGAAAATAAAAACAAATAAATGAAAGCACTCAGAACAACGGAACGGAGTTCAATGTTTTTTCTTTCGTTTGGTATATTAGTTTACCGATGCAAAAAAACGATTGGTATAGAGATGTATTGTTATTGTTATTTTTCCAATGCAGTGCGACAATGAGAGTCTAACAGAAGAGTAACAATAACCGAAAATAGAAAATAAAGGGCGAAAACGTTTGATCGGCACGAAGTAGAGAAGCGCTACTTAATAAGAACTACTTGATCAAACAATGCATGCGTGCAAAAAAAGAACACAGATGTTATCGATGTTGCGGATGTTGTAGGGTGACGAACGGACGGCCAGTACATAAATACGATAATTTCTGAACAGGCACTCTCGACTCTTTCGATTTTCGTTTATTATTATTTTTTTTGCTCACTTTAAGAAAATGATTTCACGTACCTGTTTGTTTATGTGATTAAGATGAAAGGTAATGGATGTGTGTAGGATGCGGACTGTATGTAGAGGCGGGGGGATGAAGTTCCGTGTGTTGTTTGCATGGGAAGATAAAAAGGGAAAACGACTGGTGAGAGATCCGGCTCGATTGGATCAAATGTTTCTCTCCGTTTGAGACGTAGGGTTCTCCCAGGTATACAAACCGTGTAAAAAGAGATAAAAAATAAATAAAACCAAGGGGGATTAGTATTAAATATAATATTAGTTATCCGTTTATTGAGGAGTTTGGAAATTGGTCAACCCGAGTTGACAGATTACCTTTGTTATGCGGTGAGCTCCGAAGTTCAAACAAGAGTATCTGTATGAGAACAAAATCGCAATGCCCCGAGGTGGCTGGAAGCACCGATGCTTCCAGGAAATCTCTCACAGCACACGGGCTGAGAGAGAGTACCCAGAGAGTTGTAGAGAAATGGCTTGGAAAAGCTGCCTACGGTCCGAGCTGTGCGAACGTAGGCCCCAGGGAGAGTTGTAGGGAAAATCTTCAGACGAGGAAGGCTTTCTCCCTACGGCCCGTACCAAGCGAACGTAGGCTCCAAGGGGAGTTGTAGGCAACGTTTTAGCCCAAGAACTCATCTCTCTACGGTCCGTACTAAGCGAACGTAGGCTCTCTGGATCCTTTGGCAATATGCAATTCTAGCTTAAACAATCTCATTTAATTTTAATTTTTTATATTTATAATTCCATTGTACATATATAAAAACAGAGATGGGAACTTCTTTTCTATGCAGTGAAGTTTAGCAATGTAAGCTATAGAAAATGCAGAGATGGATATGATGATCTGAAATGACTACTTTCTTAATTTTACCATGGATAAATTGATTGAAATAAAAGTTGAATACGGTTTTCCGTTTAACTATTTCATTGCAGTCAGGTGTGGGTTTAATATTATATAGGCCTCTATACTTTCTTAAAATAACTTTCAAAAATTTTTTTTGTTATTTTTTTATGTATGAAGTCTGCATGCTTCCACATCTGTTCGGGAACAGGGCATATACTAAGCCTTTGCACAGCTTCTTTTTATTTAACAGAACTAGTTCTGCGGCTTCATTATTTTGAATTTCCAGCTGATTGCAGGTTTCCTCTTGACGACCTCACAAAAATATCTTATATCTTCTCATTCTTGACCACCGTCTCTTTGTTTTCTCCTGCTCATTCGTAAACTCGGTCATTTTTTCTTCCGCTTATGTTTTATTGAGCATTATTTTTTTCTCTTCCTTATTTGACTCGTTTGGGACGTTTTTAATTGCGGTGCTACCAAATTTGTATGAATAATGTTAACTTCATTCGAACAACAATAACATTAACTGCATTCATAAGTGTATCTTTTAAAAGGGTGTAATGGTTAGTACTTATGTTTTGTTAGTAGGTGGATATATGCATATATCCACTGAATTGACCAATGAACTTATATTGATTGCAAAGCTGGTGAAAATTGCATATGTGGAAATAATGTGAAGATTATAAGCGACGACACTTTTCTAATAAACTTTATTGGTGCTACAATTTTTACAGACAGTAAATAATATGACGAAGGACTATGATTACTTACTAAAAGTATTATTAGTAGGAGATAGCGATGTTGGTAAACATGAAATTTTATCTGGTCTGGAGGATGCATCGTCTGAAAGTCCATTTTGCAGTGGCAATGGTAATGTCATTTATGATAAAAAAAACTTTTTTAATTTTTACAATAAATTCCTTTAAATTGCAGCATATAAAACAACAACTATACTCTTGGAAGGAAAAAGGGTTAAACTACAGTTGTGGGATACTTCGGGTCAAGGTCGTTTCTGTACGATAATACGTTCATACTCAAGGGGAGCACAAGGCATTATATTGGTTTATGATATCACAAATAAATGGAGCTTCGATGGAATAGATCGGTGGCTAAAGGAAGTAGAGGAGGTAAATATCGATTTGCAATTGTAAAATCTTTAAACATTTCTTTACTTTGTACAAAAATGGGATGAAGTGATTTGTTCCGATCATTTTGATTTGATACATCATGAAGGCATTTTCATCTTGAATTCAACAGTACATATTTTTTAAGCGAAAACCCCTTACTTCGAACCACGTCTAATTTAGTACCACTCACAAATAATTTATAAATTTTTAGCAGAAGAAAGCCGTGTGGCCTATATAACAAACTATAATAAACATTCAGGAATTAAATCCATTAAATTTCCGGGAACAAGCAAAGTATATATATATTTATGCCGTGAGCATCAATATCTAAATATATTTTCCAGTCAATTTACTGTATTTTGTATACCTCATAATTGAGGACTGAATGATACAAGAATAGCCAAAGTTAATTACTTTTTTAACTCCATTAGCACCTCAGATTGTGCAATAGAGTCCTCAAAAGTCCCCCTAACCATGTCGGTCTGTTTGTTCGCCAAAAGGTGGACTTGAGGGGGTACTATTACATGGAGAAAATTCTAAAATTTGTTGATATGTTGAAATTTTTGTGTAAGATTTCCACCCAAATATACATTTTTAGCCAAATCCTTTGAAATATGGTAAAATCAGGGGGTACTTTATATGGGCACTACTCCGAAACATCGACCTACATTGAAGGTATTGAAGGTAGAAGCCCTTATAATCCAATATGACAAATAGATGTCAAATCAAAAATATAGCTATTTTACACCCATTACCGTAAGATGGAAATTAATTTTATTTGCCATTTAAATTGTAAGTTGGAGACCCCATAAAGTCCATATTTTTCATCATAGTTTAATTCAATGGCGATACTTTCTTATATTTGTAATTTGTTCATGTTTTCACAATTTATATCATATAGATGTGCATCCAAAATCTACGTTCCCAACCAATATCCTCTTGGGGGTTACAACTTACAATATAATACAAAATTTTCTTTTATGACCACACATTAGATGTGAAAGTGGACTTGGGGATACTGCAATGTGGGGACTTTACTTAATTAAATTCCTATGGGGCAATTATCTGTATGATGGTTCCCTACCCCAAGGTAGCATATATACAATTTTTTTAGCCAAATCAATTGATGAATGTAGTCAAGACCAATATGGGCCCTACTCCAAAAATTTAAAATTTTATGCGAAGATGTTCTCTACCCCCTTAAAAACAAAGATGGCAAAAAAGGCAAAAAAAAAAATGAAAAAGTGCCCAAGATCCCAAAAATAGCTTAAATCATGCTATTGTTATATAAGTATGGAATCGAATTGTACCCTTATCCGTGAGTTATGATCGATATCATGACCTGCAAAAGCGATTTAAGGTATCTTGAATGTTTGGGAAGAATTTCTGGAAGGATAGAAATCCTTTTCTTACTAACAACAAATAGTTGGCAACCAACAAATAGTTGGCAACCCTGTTGTGATTAGTGTCAAAAAATTGTGGTGCTCCGTGCTTTTGAAAAAAATTAAGTTATATGTTTTATTAAATTAATTAATCTGGTAAAAAAGTGTATTAAAGTGTTCAATAGTGATTTTGTAACTCAAAGTGATAATTGGTGTAGTGTTTTAAAATTTTGTTTTGTCTTTTAAAGTAATATTAATTTTTAAATTGTGTAGTTGTACATTCTCCTTTTATCCTCTTTCTTTTGTTACATTAGCTAATTAGTTGTTGTAACATATCGTCTTGTTTTGTTTGTCATCTCATAGAGTTGCCAACATTTAAAAAAGAATTAAAAAGAATAAATAAATAAAAAAAAAATTCCAGCTACAGATCTAATCTTGAAAAATATAGCTGTAACTTGTGTATTAAAAAATAAATAATTATAATTAAAATAAATACTTATTAAAATAAAAAAATGTCGTGCCCTTTTGAATTATGTAATATTGTTGCAGAGGATGAATTGTGTGTTACCTGTTGGTTTTGTCTTAATCAATGGCATGCAAAGTGTGCTAGGATTAATGTAAAAATTGTAGACACAATTAGAAATAATGTTGGTGTTCGTTGGTGTTGTGTGCAATGTAGGAAACTCTCTGCAGACTTTTATAATTTTGTAAAGGATTTGCAGTCGGAATTGACATCGATGAAAAAAGATTTTTTCTCACTATCATTCCGATTCGAGAATTTCTCTACATTGTTTGAGAAATACCAAGAATTAGATGAGTTTGTGTCGTCACCGTCAGTTTCTGGCCAACAACGCAAAAGGGCTGCGAAAAAGGCACCAACTAAGGGAATGCCTAGTCGCAAAGCAATAGTTTCTGTGGAGAAGACTGTTCCACAACCGGTTTCAGTTAATATCACTGAAACAACTGAGACTGGACGTGAACAGTCGTATGCCAGTGTTGTTACACACCCAGTTCCGGTAGATAACAGCGGTATAGGTAAAGGGGTAAATAATCCTGAAGTTATGAGTATTGATAGTGAGGTTTCTAAGAAAACCTCCCAATCTACTCGTAACATACAGGAATTATCACTTCCTTCACTTATCACTAGTGATCGTCCCGAGACTGCTACTGGCAAAATTCAACCTGTCCAAAGATCATTATCTATGGCTCCCGCCATGAAAATGATATTTGCAACAAGGTTTGCACTAGAAACAACGGCCGATGACATTAGCTATTATATAAAATCGAAAATTGAGGGAGATTACTTTTTGAGATGTTATAAGCTCCGATCTGCATTTTCTAAAAGTATATTCTTTCAAAATCGTTGTGCCTGAAAATATTTTTGTACAGTTGATTTTAAAAGAATTATGGCCTGCTAGGGCATTTATTAAAGAATTTCTGGAGAGATCCGATAATTTAGCTCATTTCCCTCTTAGTCCAGATTCGGTGCCAAAAAACTAAATGACTCATTTTCTATTTGCTATCAGAATGTAAGCATTGGTTTCAATTATAATGCATTGGTTTTCTCCGAAGCTTGGTTAAAAACATCTAAATTAAATAGTGAAATTTTATGTTCAAAATATCAAATATTTGAAAAGATCGTGTTTGTAAAAAGTGGTGGCGTCCTTATTGCAGTTGATACCAAATATACCACTAATTATATTGATCTAAATGGTTTTCTTGTTATAGAATTTGTTGGCGTTTCCATTGAATTGGGCAAATCTAAATTGTTTGTAACTTCCTCTTATATTCCACCTTCATCTTCACTTGACATTTATAATCAGCATTTATCAGCAATAAACGTAATCACTGCAAAAATGAAAGATTCCGATCGCATCCTGATCCTTGGTGATTTTAATATGTCTTCCATTAGGTGGCTTCCAATGCCAGATTCTGAAGCTTTGATTCCTTTGCCATTAGAAATGAACAGTACCCAGTATACATTTGATGTTATAAATAGTTTGTGTGACTTAAATCTTTATCAAATAAACAGTGTGAAAAATTCCCTCGGCAAAATTCTTGATTTGGCGTTTGTAAATATAACGCAGCATTTTGATATATTCAGAATTCCTCCAATATGCACTCCTGAAGATATATACCATCCAACTTTATATATCTCCATGACTCACAGTTATGTAATTGAAGAAAGTCAGTCCGACTCATTTAAAACTGTCCTTAATTACAAAAAAAACTAATTTTCGAAAATTTAATACCCTCATTTCCTCCGTAAATTGGGCTTCTGTGTGCCTGTGTAACAGCCATAAAGATTTAGAATATGTAATTGATAAATTTTATGATATTTTAAATAGCTAGATCTAAATATACTTTAGAGTCTCGTAGATTGTATAATCTTTACCTAGACAAGATTAAAAATAATTTTAAATCCAATCCTAAATCTTTTTATGATTTTGTTAATCTAAAACGAAAAGTTTCCTCAAAGCCCTCAGTATTGAAATATAACAATAAAGAATTTGTCACAGGCACAGATATTGCTGAATGTTCCGCAGATTTTTTTGCCACAACCTATTCCAGTACATCTTGCCAAATTAAAGATTCGTATCCTTATAAGTTGTCACAGGCTGATCAAATTTGTATGCCTTTTCTACAACGTCAGGATGTGTACAATAGTCTGCGTAGTTTAAAATCGATTAAATGTCCAGGACCGGATGGCATACCTAATATAATTCTTAAATATTGTTCAGAAACATTAGCACTTCCGTTAACTATATTGTTTAATTATTCACTGAAATTTGGTCACTTTCCTACTTTCTGGAAAAAATCTTATATTATACCTTTACATAAGTCTGGTAGTCTTACCAATGTGTCAAATTATAGAGGAATTGCAAAATTAAGTGCCATACCTAAATTGTTTGAAAAATTAATTACTGCAGTAATTTCACAGAAAATTCAATCTATATTGAGTCCATATCAGCATGGTTTTCGTAGTGGTCTTTCAACTACAACAAATCTTATACAATTTACGTCAACAGTAACTAAAAGGATTTGTTCAGCGTAAACAAACTGATACAATTTATACTGATTTTAGTAAAGCTTTTGATAGGGTTAACCATGAACTCCTAATATATAAATTAAATTATATGGGTTTCAACACAAACTTAGTCAAATGGATATCATCTTACTTAAAAGATAGATCACAACTAGTTTTGTTTGAAGGGTATCTATCCAAAACGATTAACGTTCCATCGGGTGTTCCGCAAGGAAGTCACCTTGGACCGGTCCTCTTTCTTTTATTTATCAACGATTTACCTAATTCCATAAATTACTCGAAATTGTTAATGTACGCAGATGATGTTAAATTATTAATTTCCCATAATTGTGATAAACGAGCCAGTTTACTTCAAAACGATTTAGACAGCCTTTTTAAATGGTGCAAGTTAAATTGTATGGAGTTAAATTTAAGCAAATGTAAGCATATGTGCTTCTCCAGATCTTCTTCTCTGATATTACAATATAATATTGACGGTCATTCATTATCAACTGTAGATTCAGTTTGTCGATCTAGGCCTCTTGATGGATCCAAAATTAAATTTTAATAGCCATGTAATAACAATGGTAAAT